TGCTAATCAAGGACTTTTCAGCTTCCCATGCTCTGACACGTGCACAAGAAACTGGGAGGGGGCACAGCCAGAATAGTTGATCCAAACTGACCAAAGGGCTATGCCATACCATATGACGTCATGCTCAGTATATAAACTGGGGGGGGTTGGCCAGGGAGCAGCGATTGCTGCTTGGGAACTGTCTGGGTATCGGTCAGCGAGTGGTGAGCAATTGCATTGTGCATCACTTGCTTTGTATATTATTATTGTTATTATCATTATTATATTGTTATTATTATCATTACTACTTTACTTTATTTCAATTATTAAACTGTTCTTATCTCAACCCAGGAGTGTTTCTCACTCCTCCGATTCTCTCCCCCATTCCATTGGGGTAGGGGGAGTGAGCGAGCGGCTGCGTGGTGCTTAGTTGCTGGCTGGGGCTAAACCACGACAGAGGTTTGCTGATTGCCCAGAAATACCCTGTATCATTTCTGTAGGAGGAAACAAGCTCAGTTTTAACTATGCGCTGAATTAACACACAGGTAAGGAGTGGACAGGATAGTAGATATTGTTACATCAGTTTTTGCTTTAAATTTGTTTTAAGGATTTACTTTCCCTCACATAGATATAAAAAAGTCATACCCCAATACTAATTCTTTTTCTTATCCAGCAATTAGGTGCATAATAAGTAGCTACAATAATTTCTCAATGTTGTGTCACTGAACATCCAAAACTCAAGACTGTAATCTGTCATTTTACGTTAGCTAAGCAGCTGTGACTGTATGCAAATGAAAATCTATTTTTTTTCATAGAAAGGCATGCATATGTGTGCGTATGCATATAAACACAAAGATTCCTGATGTGACAATTTGAATGTAAAACATCAGATGCCTAAGTAGCAAGATGAGCACTAATATAGCAATTACAAGCCTTCACTGTAGTAAAGGCATTTGTGTTAGGATAAGAACATATAAAAGGAAAGCCCTGAAACTAAATGAGGCTTTGTAATTTGTTTCCTGTTCACAGTATTATGTTTACTACTATCTATTACCTTGAGCAATCTGATCTAACTTTAAAACTAGCTGTGCTTTGAGCAGAAGATCTAACTGGAAGACCTCCAGAGGTCTCTTCAAATCTTTTTTTTAATTATTATTTTTAAATGATTATACAATTCTAATGAAGGATTCAGCAGATCCAAATTCAGACAGTTACTTCCATCTCCTTGACTCCACTTAATTCATCAAGATTTTGCATTTGTTTCCTTGATCTCCAGTTTTTTTCCCAAGTCCATTTAGCTTACAACTGAGAGGAAAACTTTCTGCCAAGGAAAAAAGGAAACGATCGAATCATTTCAGCAAGAATCCAATCTGTTGTTCCAAGACCCTCCTGGATTTTCTTCTCCCCATGAGGATAAGTGCATACCTTATGAAATACACCCCAACTTCCTGAGCAACAAAACTAAACACCACTTCCGAACACATGTTCCTAAGTTTAGAAAACACGATTAATTGAAGCAGGATCAATAAATAGTGAAATAAGAATACTACTTCCTTTCTTCTCTAAAGATCACACACAAATGTTATTAGTTTTGATAACGTGATAATATCTGGAAGACATTTGACCTTGTAAAATGAGTTTATTCTGAGAAGTGGAATGCTTTTTGTGGAGGTCAGGAAAACATCCTTTGCAAATGGTGGGGAGGGGATGGGGGTTAACAGAACAAAATAAAAATCTGATTCAAGACAGGTGGTCCTCCACACTTAATGAGAAATTTGTGTCACAGCCCTAATAAAGGTAAAAATTAATTGCAACATGTTGCCCATTAACAGCCAGTTTTCAGAACAAAGGGAAAATGGGGAATTTGCTCACCCTGGTATTCTACAACATCCGACAACAACATGTAAGCACAACAAGTACAGGCAGAGCAGGGAGCTGGAAGTATTAACAGGACAGGTACAAATGGAAAAGCGAGATTGCCCGTTCATATAGATGAAGATTAAACAGTACAACAGAAAATTGATATTGATACTAGCAAAAAGAATAAAAAGAACATATAATGATACCAACCCTTGCATCAAAAGCTTTTGACCTGTAGCTTAGGTGAAGAGTATTCAAATATAAAAGGGTATTACATGACATCTCAGCAAGAGAGATGGCAGCAAGCAGAAACTACAGAAGATGTGATTAACATAACAGGGATATGGAATCACACAGGATTTCAAACATCATTCTGCTGAAATGAGGACACAGAAGACCACAAACCCTGTAGTGAGTGAAGATAAGATTTAAGTGAGGTGAAGTGAGGATCTGCTATGGAGAGGAAGAGAACGGGCAAGGGACCAATGGCTTTGTAGAAGTTGTGTTATGTGCTGCGGGGTCCAAGAAGGCAAAAAGGAAAGAAAAAAAAAAAAAAAGAAAAGAAGAATCAGTTTAAGCCAAAGTTTTCTCTCTTTGGAGGAAAACAACCCAGCAACTGGAAAAAAAGTGAAGCTATACAAGTATCACACCTTTTAGAGAGCCCTTAATAATGAGGGCTGCTAATGTTTTCACTACTAAATAGACTGCTATCCCCCTGGAAAAGGGCAAAATGAGTAAAATGTGCAGGTAGACACAAGGCCATAGGCTGCAATCCAAGGCACCCAATCTTCACAGATTCTGCACAACTAGACCTTCCAGCCTCCCCGAGCTCAAACTGAAATGGTGCAAGATAGAACACTGCAAAGGCAAGGAGTGAAGCTAGGTATATATCTCAGAACAAAAACCTTCCTCAGGAACCTCCATCAGGTGTCCAGGGATCTGCCTACGCAACACTGCAGAACTGGAGCTTATGTCCTTACTTGAATGTAAAATAATTTTACTTTAATGAGCATGTATTTTAAAAATCTATTAGTTTCCTTCTCAGGGCACTTCAGTGAATACAATCAATAACTCCTAAAATATTCACAACTAAAAGACTATCAAGAAGGTATTGCAAGTGTACTGATTTAAGCAAAACAACCTTTCCAACCATTTGGTTATCAATGGCATGTGGTTCCTTAAAAAAATATGCATGTGAAAACTTGTTTTGGATTAAATGTTTGAACAGTATCTCTATTTTTACATTTGCAAACCCAGAGGAGGTAAATTTATGGAAGCAGCGGTTTCCATTTGATCAACATAAAGGTCAAAGAATAGATAGATTGGATATGTTATTAAAACATGCTATAAACATTGTTAATGTTTCCTTGACAATGTCATATAATTTCTCCTCTGAGCAGGAAGTATCCCAGCTATGCCAACGCAAATGTCAGATTCCAGGGCCAGGAAATAACCGTGTCCAGAAAAATTAGTAGGACAGTATGCATCCATTTAAAAGAGTCTTTGAAATGGAATTCCTTACAAATGTTAATACACACAATCTTAAAGAGGCAAGACTCGATTAAGTTCAAGAGGGTACATATGAATAATAAAAGTGTTTTCCCCATTTTTAAAAATAGCCTAGGATTGTGGGAGAATTTAACTTCTGATCTTTATTTAAAAAAAATTACAAAATAATGAACTGAAACTTAATGGGATGTGGGTAACATTGCCTTACGTACACTTTTCTGCTGACAATTTGCTGTGAACTAAAAGCACAGAGCTTCAGAAAGAGAAGAATTTCATACCAACAAAGGAACTTCCTAAGGGTTTAATTCAGAGTTTATTGAAGTCAGAGGGCAGCTGTTTTGGTTACTCTAATGGGCTTTGGTTCATGCCCTAAGAAAACAGACTAATCTGCAAGCTTCCCATTAGATTTATACAGGGTATTGTAGGCCACAAACACATTAGACTGGTCAAACTCTATACCAGATTTTAAAAAAAGACCAAGAAGTTGTCAGAGGTTCACATGAGCCAAAGGAAAGTGAATGGCATAGATCACTTATGACCATATATAATTTTTCTCCAGAAAGCTTAAAATATACACTCTGCAGAAAGTGACTTTCAATCTCCAAACATCTTACAAACACTAAAAGACTTAGCTACTAAGGGAAGAGTAGTTCTGAGAACAACTCACTGTCTAATCTACAGTGCACAGTCAAAGTTTTGACTGGTATATAGTTAGGGAGTGGCGTAAACCTGCAGAGCTGGAATATGCCCCCTGTGGGAGCTAGCGTCTCTCCACCAGTGCAATGGCTGTCCATCCATTTCTACGGACTACGGACACCGTGATCACCACCCTGCCTGCTGGGAGCATCCAAACCACAGCCTTGGCCCTATCTGTCTTTCACTAGTTTCTATCCAGCTCTGCAACACAGAAAGCTGCAGCTTCTCCCCTTAACTTCTGCTCTCAGCTCTCCCTTCCTTTAGCAGGGATAACAGGTTATTTTCTCAGCTCCTACATGTCCCAAAGGTTTTCACCCTTAATTAGTCCTGAGCAAATACAGCACAAAATACAGCACCAAGTATTCCTTCATGAGAGATTTCAGCATGTTACTCTCTTTCAACAGGCTGAATACCAAAATCATTTCCCCTGGTCAAAAAGGAGCATGGCTTTCAAATGTGCTTTGAAATTTCACACACTTCGATATATATAGAAAGTACTTATAGCACTTGCAGAATATTTTAATTGGCTTCTTAGCAGCACAGAAGATTTCAGTAATTCAGAGAAAAGTTGTGCTTTTAGTTACTTTTCCAGTCTCTAGAACAACGTTAATGTAAAAAGCTTTTTCTAATGCTAAGATTCAAGGTACTTCAGATGGTATTAATAAGATCTGTTTAAATTCTAATTATGCTACCCGTACTTTTCTTCACGCTGCTTCAAGAAAGCTGGCAATAAAGACAGCAGCATTCATGCTGGGAATATTTTTGATATGAAGCAAGGTGAAAGGAGGACAAACATTTGATAAATTTCTGTAAGACAGAATCTATGCAGAAGTCTAACTGTCAGATATGCAACAATCTGCAGTCACCACAAGAGCAGCTGGAAGGTTAAGTTAATACAGCTCTGTATATGCCAGTTTGCCTCTTCTACTTCATTAAAAAGTTGGATGTCTACTCACCAGTTTACTGGGGGAAAGGTATTCATCCATAAGTGGCTCTCTGTCACCTTTAATCAGCGGACTGGGATTTAGGTTGCCTCGCCAACTTAAATCAGTCACCCGGACTGCAGCTGAAGCTGGACAAGAAACTCTGCCAGGTTTCCACTTCAGGTCCATCTCAATATGCTTTGAACAAAAGAATAACAAGCAGTCTGATTTTTTCCCCTGTATTTATTATTTTCCATTTAGCAAAATCTATTTTGACTCCCATTGCAAGTCAGCAAGTGCCTATAGAGATACAGTTTTCTCTAATCAGAAAAAAACACAAAGCAATGCATCACGTAACACATATTCTTCCTTTTCTTCACCCTCAAGAGCTATTCTAATCCCACATCTCATTCAGCTTTGAGTGTAAGCTTTTACAGCAAACTATCGTTTACAGTTACACAAAAAGCCAGGCATACCTATGGCTCTCTACAAAGAGGGTAGTCAAGAACAAACAACTCAGGGCACTAGTCCTTTCCAGTCTTCTCACTACTCCACTCACCATTCTCCAGTGGCAATAAACTTCCCATCCACATGGGCCTCCTACTTACCCATCCCCTCTTGAGAAATGCAAACAGCACTCGGCAAAACTCTGCCAGGCTCCAGGCTGCAAGTGCCAGCACCAAGACATGTCACTACTTCTCTCCAGTGTTCTGAGCTCTGCCTGTAGGTAGCATGGACAGCAGCAGTCTGTATTTGCTGTCCTAAATTAAATATATCTGCACTGTTACTGACTGCCCTGGGTCAGGCAGGTCATGGCTACTGACTTCTAGTTCTGAAGAGAGTCTTGGAGGAAATAAAATTAAAATACAATTTAAACAAAACTGTGTATGCTTCAAGTGAGGAATGAAATCCAAAGACTGAAGATGAAGCATTTCAAAAGTGTCCATTCTTCAATTCCCAAAGCTATTCCTTTTCCAGAAATATTACCAATTAACTTTGAAATATGAGAATAAGCGTATGTATACCCATTAGAGTCAAAAAAGCAATCGGCTGTACCCGAATGGTACAAGCATTACTATGATTTATACAGCTATTTACTACTACTTGGCAGCAAGGAAGTATCACAGCTGGAAACATTGCTGTAACAACAAAAGGCTAGACTAGAGAAAAGCCTTCTTGCTCTGCTTGAGGGACACCTGCAGTTTTCCTCTATTCTCCACTGTGAAGCAATACTTATCCTTAGTGCTGGAAAAGTAATTAAATAATCAAGATAATCATAACTGGCTGACAAGGCTTCAGTGGGGGCCAAGACCTGAGAATTACTGTCTTTCTGCCCCCAAATACTAATAAACAGTTAAACACAGGAGTGATTTTTGTTAGGAAAAATAGAAGAAGTTCTGACTGCTCAGCTAGTCATCTCCACTCGAGAGGACTGACCGGTTAGTGGGTGAGAGAGAGGTTGACACCAAAGAGATTTGTTGCTCTGACTACTCATGTCCAGTCAAAAGTCTTCATCTCTGCACTAGCAAAAGACATTCAAAAGACTCAGTATTTTCAGAAAAAATAGCAGCCCTTATCTGAAGGAGAAGAATGAAAAATTAACAATCCACCAAACCTCTCCCTGCAGGATCTCCTAACATTAGGAAGGGAGAAACCAAAACCTCATACTCCTAAGTGTTCCTTCCGTATGCTTATCAGGGGAGAGGCAACCCACAGAAAGCAAAAATTATTTTCCCCAGATCACTTCATGTACCTGGCAAACATTCCTAGAGAAGCTGACTTCTCAAATGTGCTACATCTGAACCACAACAATGTTCAACACTTAAAAAACATTCAAGAACAAATTCTTCAGAGACACATTACTCCTTTCAATCTTTCTTAATGGCTTATAAAAGAAATACCATAAAGTGAACTGAGCAGTGACATGTGCAGCTTTTAAAACCTCAGTGTGCCCATAGTAGTACAAGGACAACCTTCATACTTCTGCCCATTAAGAGGGAAAAGTGATCTCTAAAACGCTATGTGTCTTAGTTTTTGAAAGAAAAAATACAACCCATAAATTTCTATTACTGTTCCTTTTTCCAAAGAATTCTAGAATTTCTCGGATTTTTTTCCTCTACTTTCTTTAGAGCAGGTCAGTATGATTTAGTCAGTACACTGAGTTGGAACAGTCATCAGTTGTCCATGGAAATTCAAGAATCTTATGTGATATAAAGGTCTTCCAGTGTTGTCTTTATTTTCCTAAGAAAGAATTATTTGGGTCAATAATTGACTTGGATTAGAATATCTGCCATATAAATGCTGGAATACTTTGACAGTTACACAAGACTTGTGTTGGATCATGTGCAAGTCCTGGTGGTTCCATCTAATTCAAGGAATTAGACGGATCACTATTATCCAGACATAATCCTGTATGTTATTGGAGCCAAGTGGAGCAATAGTCAGAAATCACTGATGTAACGTGTGAGTGCAAAACATAATAAGATAATAGCAGGATTGTGTAGATCTGGGCTGTAAAGAGTTAATACACTTGCATAAAACAAATTATTTTTCTCCTTTACTTCAGTCCATCATTTCAGAATGTCCTCCAATCTTTGAAATGTGTGTTGACACAGCACTTAAGGTTTGACAGGGAGATCAATTTGTGGTTTAATATCTGAAGTAACACTTCCAATTCTATACTTCCCGCTATTGATCTGCTGTTTCTAATTATTGTAACATTGGATTAGCGAGAAGAAAAGTATTTTCATTACAAATTGTCTGGGATCAAATTGAGTTATTATCAGTAAACAAAACTAATTTTTTGACGTGCTTCCATCACTTCAAAACTTCCTCCAGAGAAGAAAGAATCTTCTTCTGAACATGGATCTAAATAACATCCTCAAAATGAGGAATATAGAAAAGCTAAGAGTGCAGGAATCCTAGCGGTGAAGTACCAATTTTACATAAACATCTGAAATCTCCAGCACTGTGTAGGAGTGAGAAGGGGGCCTGGCACAACAGTCATCCCCCTACAGATACAGGAGTTAGATCACTCATTTTCATCAGGTGCACCTGACTTTCTCAGATGCGTAAATCATTCCAGTAAAGCCACCTCACCTGCTCATTTAAAATGCTAAAAAGCAAATGAGAAATCTATGGCTCTGTCAAACGCACAGGACAAGCAATCACTGATCCAAACTATTGTTAGCCTCAGTGGGACAGTTGACAGGGACTGGAAAGACTTCATTGTCATTAAAGAGGTCTGAGAAGTCATGAACCTGAAGATTACTCCACAGAGAAGATGGTCACACATTGGATATATGTTGGATCTATATGCTGAATGGTAATCCAGATCATTCCTGCAAGACTTTGTGGGACCAACAAGGATGGAAGCTAACTGTACCTAACACAAACCTTCAATGAATTCAATGGGAGAGCAAAGCAACCCCAGTAAGTAGATGGGAGTGTCAGGGTTTTTTTAAAAAAAAAAAAAAAAAAAAAAAAAAGAGGAGGAGGGGGGGGGGGGTTGGTCCTGCATGTGAGCATTGAGAATAAGAGAATGAAAGAAAACAATGACTTAGTTTTTGCAGGATTTGCATAGTAGGTCTTGACTTGGCAGGCTCTTACACATGTGGATAACTAGAAGCAGATAATCATTGAGTGCAGGAGAAATCAATGACCAGAGCAATGAGATGGAAGACCTTGAATTCTATGAACAGTTAGTCTGCCAACTTTCCCCACTGCTGACACTCTCCTTCCCAAAGCAAGCATGATGATGGTAAGCTATTTGATTCGCAGACATGTTGTGAAAGTTCATCAAAAACTGCATGACATTTTCAACATATATAGAGTAATACTACTAATAAAGATCATTATTAAAATTAAATGATCCTTGGAACAACATGTTATTTGAAATCCTTGCAGAATACTGTAATTTGCTAGAAAGAAATTGGCAGAGAATAGTTATTTGATGTTCTTAGGGTCTGACAAACTGGTAAAACTCCAAGATTTAATTTTCCTGCTACAAGATTTATTGAAGAGTCAATGATAGGCTCGTGTATTCTTCATTAAATATATATTAATATGCATTTCAAATACAGCGATTGCCAGAAATGTTTGACTCCATATTAATTATGGCTTCTTAAGTCTAGGAAAGACCCTTTGAATTGTGTGACTAGGCATGATAATTTCTAATGCAGCTTTCCAAGACGTTACCTAAAGAGCTTGTCCAAGCAATTAAGCTACCATTTAAAACAAAAAAAACTCCAAAAAACAGTAATCAATCCATATTTACTCTAGGAAATACATAGACCTCTATATATTAACATCCCATACAAAAATAGGATGGGATTAGTCCAGCTTCTCAACCAGCATCCTCACCTGCTCTGTGGCTACCCATGCCTTCAAAAAGCTCCACTGGACAGGGAGGAGTGCCATTTCAGGTAGGGTACTGCAATCTGTACGCCCTTATCTTTATGTCACCAGCCTAAAAATTCGCTAGAAAAAAACATTTGAGAACCATTGTGTTATCTATCCCTTCATGACAGGAAGCTTGCACTGCAGCCTTCCATTTCTTTTGCCCTGCATAATGTAATTTTTATTTGTTTAATCCAGAATCACAAATTACAGTAGTGCCCATACTGTTACCACTGCCACAGAATGAAAACAACGAATTCTGTGTTTACTAAGGATTTGACAAAAGGTTTGGTTTATAAGTCCCAAGGGAACTATAAGTGCCCTTTTAAGTGTAATTTTGTGCAAGTGCACTACAGATAACCTCTTTGGAAAAAAAACGTTTAGGCAGCTGGAATTTACTATGAAGTCATCAGGAAACTACTGTTACAATAATCCACCCCTAATGGCAAAAACAGTTCCTGCCACATTTATGCAATATAAAGCATCCTGCAACACACCACTCTATTTTAGCAGATGCAACTTGTAAAAAGTTGAAAAATAAAACATCTGACCTGATATTAATGTGACTCTTTCTTTTCTATATATGACTAAACGATCTTGTTTTAATCTTCTGGTTTTGTTAAGCAGAAGGAAGTTAACAACTACTTCAGTAATGATACTTTAATATCAAGGGATCATATAAACACTATAAAGAGCATTCATAAATATTCCACTTGTGTGCCCACTAAAGAAAAAAAGCTTTTGTGAGAATGCTGAAATATCAAGATATGAATAACCCATTTAATGTAATT